CTGGCGCGGAGTCCACTGGCCGGCTCAAAGGTCCGGGAACCAGGGCGTGCTAGCGGCCTGCGCCGGCCAGGGTCCTGGGGAGGGACCGAAGCTCAGCCTGGGCAAAGAGGAAGCCACAGGGCCAGGAAGAGGGCAGGCTGCCCAATGGCCAGGGCGCGAGCCCCACGGGCCCCTTAACGCGGGGAGGTGGCCCCAGTGCCCTTGGAGAGATGTGGGCAGCTCTTGCAGTCTCCGGGCCTCCCCAGGGGCAGCTCCAGGGTGGGTGCTGGGCAGGGTGGTGCCCCAGTCGGGCACTGCAGCTTTCTGCCTGGGTTGGCTCCTGACTCCAGACCTACAGGCTCCGGAAATCCTACAAGGGCCCGGTCTGCAAGGACACGCCCTTGCCCAGCGGAGGGGGCAGTGGATGGGAAGCCTGCGGCCCTAGCTCACAGGCAGCATCTGTCCGCTCACCCTGCTGGCCAGCACCAGGGCGTGGCTGTGCCCAGCTTGGCGGATGAGTTTATCCTTCTTTGGGGCTGTTCAGAGGGCATCAGGCCCCTGGGGGGTGGGAAGCCCAGGCTTGCCTAGCCGGACCACATCGCTGAGGGCCCGCAGGTGGCCCGAGGCTGCTCTGAAGACCTTGCCTCACCTGGAACACGCTGGTGGTACCACCCGCTTCCTTGCTGTCACCCTGTTCCCACAGCACTGCCCTCCCCCAGAGCGGGAGGAAGTACCTTGTGCTGTGGGTTTTGGGGACCGGAAGCAAGCACTAGTGGGGCTTAGCCCGGGTGTGGAGGAGGGGAGAGGAGGAAATGCCGACATCGCCTACCACCTGCTGGCCCCTGCCCGCCAGTTCCCCAGCAAACCCCTCTCTGGCACCCTGACGCCTGGCCCCAGGGAGCTGCTCTGCTGAGCACAGTGAAGGGGAACTGGAGTCTTGGCTTCCCAGGGTGGGGAGAAGTGCAACTGGAGGGTGAGGGAGGGAGTTGGTCATTTCCTCCACCCCTCAGTCCCGGGCCCCTGGCGGGCTGCTCCTGGGCCTGTCATCTCCTCTCCTCCCTTTTGCCTCTCTCCTCCCCCCACATACTGTCCTTGGGGGGCGGGATCAGGCTCCACCTCTCCATCCTCTTCCTCAGGCATGGCGCTGACTGTGGACGTCATGGGGCCAGCGCCCTGGGGCTTCCGCATCACTGGGGGCAGGGATTTCCACACGCCCATCATGGTGACCAAGGTAAGGGCCGGCTCCGGGAGAGCAAGAGGCATCCCCATAGTTAGGGTTGGCTCTGTTTACCTGGTCCCCACAGACACCTTTCCTTTTTTGTTCTGGAACCAGAGGTCTGCTTCTGGGAGTGATGGTCCAGGGAGGGCTGGGACCCTGTTGCCACCGGGATGTGGTCGCCAGGTCAGGAGCAGGCTTCTGGGTAGTGAAAGGGAGCTGGGCCAAGGGACCTGCTGGTTGCCAACCCCATACCTGCTGGTAGCCCTTTCAGGTGGTTATGAGAACAGGAGCCCCTCAGTTCTTGGCAGTTTCACCTTGACCCAGGCTGGGCCGGGCAGCATTCACACAGGGGGCCGGTGTGCGGGCGGGCAGTCACCAGCACGTCGCCGTTTGCACTGGCAGGGCTCTGTCTGGGAGTATCTCCAAGCACAGTTCCTGAAATTCCGTCATCACATACTCTTTGGAGAGAGGGGCTGCCACTCCAGCTTCGAGGGCACTAGCTGATTAGCTGGGCAGATACCGAAGGGCAGGGAGAGAGGTAGTAAAGGGGGACACGGGCCAGCCTGGTTCAAACCAACTTCTGTGTTTCTTGGGCAGGACAGAGGGAATCTCCCCCCCCCACCCTCCCTGCCTGTCACCACTGTCTGAGCCGGGGTACCTCAGACTGCCTGCACCTCATCCCCTACAGGTAACGGAGCGGGGCAAGGCCCAGGCTGCTGACCTCCGGCCTGGTGACATCATCGTGGCCATCAATGGGGAGGATGCCCACGGCATGCTCCACGCGGAGGCCCAGAGCAAGATCCGCCAGAGCCCCTCGCCCCTGCGGCTGCAGCTGGACCGGTAGGCTCTCCGCATCTGCTGGGCCCACCAGCATTCCTCTCCCCTCGGCCAGCACAGGGCTGGGGCCGCCCTCCCCCACCTGCCTTTTCAGCTCATCCTGAGAAGGTCCCAGGCTCCTGGCCTGCAGGCCTTCAGCTGGGTGGGCCTAGGGGTGTCCCTGTGCCTGGCTGGGCATGTAGCCACAGGTAGGGCAGGCTGGCATCAGCCACCTGGATGCCCGGGTTTGACTGGTTCCCAAGTGTGCGGGCTACAGGGCGTGGGCATGAAGTGGGTTGAAGAGGGAAAGGTGTGCCTTAGGCTGGGTCTCCAGGGCCTCTGCCTCCAAGAGGGCATGACCTTTGTTCAGGTAGGGCTGCGGGGAGGGAGGTGAGGAGTTTG